CCAAAATTAACATATAACGGTGCTATTGACTCTTTTTAAAAAGAAAATATTAAATTGTTTGTTGATTACTCATGATAAGAGATGCTAGACAAGCTTCTTCCCTTTCTATAATTTTATCTGGTACCATAATTCAATTTAGATATATTTAGTGCATAGGGTGTGCCAACACTCATTAATAACCAAATAAACTTTAAATGGTGAACTCCAGGTCACCACACAGTGACTGCCAAGTCAACTACACCAAGGTTTTGGAAGACAATGGCTTCGGCGCCCAGGCAGGATGTAAATAACTTTCAAATGGAACTTGGCATCACCTGGAAGAATTCTAATTCTGGCTTCAGAGTAGACTAACTTTACACAGTGCATTTTTACAAAGACATATTTATCGGAGTGATGATCAGACTGTTACATCTTTCTCAGCATTAAGCTGAAAGTAATCCGACCATTACTAAGTTGTTTCCTGTGATTTTATTTGCAATCAGTATGCATTGTAGCTCATGTTATCTGCAGTGGAGCTTTTTACTGAGATATTTCAAGATATTTGTTCACAGACAGTTCTTAAGAGTACCTGAAAGGATGTGACTATGAATACCAGAAAAATAGAAGAATTAGGAGATGGAAATTAAGGCAAAATTGTTTGCATTACAATTTAAGAATTTTAAATTTATCCTCCAAAATTTGTTAAAAAGCTGTTGGTCTTGTGAGCCCCTCCAGACATAAAATGTTACAGCAATAAATCTTGGGTTGAGAGATTTGTGTTATCTTTTCCCCCCTATTATTAACATTGTTTGTCTGGATAGGAGAACGGGATATGTGGAATAAGGTGAATAGGGCCTGCACCATCATTATCATCAAATAATTCACGATGGGTGAATTACGTATCACCTACTTCTGGTGGCTTTGTTCAAAGTGGGTTAAATAGATGCATCCTCGGTATTGACATATAATGATGTCCATAGTTCGCATAGCAAAAGGATGTTGGTTAAGCCAATGTTTAAATTGCATACACTATTTTGCAAGACAAGAGAATAACAAGCAGAATGTACAATAAAAGAGACTCATTTTCAACACCAGAATCTCAGTTATAATAAACAATTCTTCCAGTCCCTGAATCTCAACAAAGGAGTAGCTGCTGCTTTAACCTGGACTTCTATGAAGAAAACAGAATTGTTTCAAAGAATAATGACTACCCTAGAATTAGACAGTCATACATTTTACAATGTAAATAATTAAAATATAAATACATTAAATAATATGCAGATGCAGTTATGTTCAGAGTTCTGATTTACTTTCTCTTATAACTAAGGGTACTTGGAGCTTCATCTTCTATGTTGATTTGATTCTTCTCTCTGTGTTCAGCTTTGTTCTTGTCTCATAACCAGAACACTTCTTATATCAGAGCCCTTATTATTTTCTGGTTATTTGTAGCTTCTGCTGATGTGTGTTTTAAAAGCCATGCTGAATAGCACATCTTTATTGATTGACTAGAGGCCTGGTGCATGAATTTGTGCACCAGTGGGGTCCCTTGGCCTGGCCTGCAGGATTGGGCTGAAACTGGCTCTCTGACATCCCCCGAGGGGTCCCATATTGCGAGAGGGGTAGGCCAGGTCAAGGGACCCCACTGGTGAATGATTTGGGCTGGGGAGGGGTGTGGGAGGTTGGCCAGCCAGGTAGGGACTGCAGGAGGGCTCCAGGGCATGCCCGGCCCATTTCACTCAGTCCTGATCAGCTGGACCCCAGCAGTAAGCTAACCTATCAGTTGGAGTATCTGCCCCTGGTGGTCAGTGCACGTCATAGTGAATGGTTGAGAAGTCTTAGCATATCATTAGAATATTATGCTTTGATTGGTTGAACAGATGACCAGACACTTAGCATATTAGGCTTTTGTTATATAGGATAACTAAAAATAGCTCATCTCCCTAACAAACACTGTAAAATTTCTACTGACTTTACCTTTTCACTCATAAGTTTCTTGTTTAAAAATATATTTTTATTGATTTCAGAGATGAAGGAAGAGGGAGAGAGAGATAGATAAAAATATCAATGATGAGAGAGAATCATAGATTGGCTGCCTCCTGCAAGCTCTACACCCTAGGCATGTGCCTTGACCTGGAATAGAAACATGATCTCCCAGTTCAGATTGATTCTCAACCATTGAGCACAAGTATACACAACTGAATGAACACTGTAGCCCACACATCCAAAATCCATGTCCTCACCACTCAAACATTTGTGCTTGGACTACCCATCCTTCCCAGGTGCATGGCCATTGGTGGCAGAGTCTGCTGTGTGTAGGACCGAGCTGGGAAAGATGGTATCACAGGCCCTGAATGACAACTCAGGGATATATGGAAATGAAGTTCTGGAATCACAGTGGTTTGGAGCATGGTCAAGAAAAAAATGAGTGCTGACTCCAGATGGGCACTTCTCTTGTCTCCACAGACTTTGCTTAGTGGTGAAGGTGTGGACAGAGAACAGCTGGAATGCAAGCCAAATACTTGTTGGTTCTCACTATGTACCATCACTGTTCTGGTCACATGGGACACATGATTGAACAAATCGATGTTCTGTCCTTGTAGAGCTTATATTCTTGGGAAAGGAGAGATGGACTGTTATTACTAAATTTGATAAATATATAAACTTTATAGTGCCTCAGAAAGTGAGAAGTATTATAGAAACAATGAAAGTTAGAGCAGGGAATGTGGCAGGGTTGGCCTCTACTGAGAAGTTGAGATTCGTGTAAAAACTTGAAGGCAGTGAGGAGCTTAGCCAAGAAGATAATAAGAGGGAGAGAAACTCAAGCTTTTGAGAGTGGTGTGAGCATCTGGGGATAGGACCACAGTTGTCATGTGGGAACAACAAAGAGAATGTATAAGATGGAGAGTTAAAACAAAAGAAGTCAGAATAAAAACACTGATGGCCAGATTACATAGTGCAGCACTACCCAAAAGAATTATAAGGATACCTATAAAAATGTAATTGAAATGTTTGTGTAGCCACAATGAAAAGTTAAATAGGACCAGGTCAACTTAACTATAATAATCCACTTTATACAATGCAATTTATCTAAAATGTAATTTTAATGCTTAATCTCTGAAGTCTAGAGTGTATTTTGCATTAACAACACATCTCTTAATCTTTACTAGCTACATTTCAAGTGCTTAATAGCCAAATATGGTTGGAGCTTACTGCACCGGGCAGACCAGATAGAGGCTTTGACTCATCATTGGAAAAACTTTGCATCACTTGGAGTGACTTGGGAGATGATTCAGCATTTTAAGAATTTAAGTGTCATAATTTGATTTTTGTTTAAAGATCAGGGGTAGCTTTAACTGAGAAAACATCATAAGAGATCAAGATATTTATTGCAATAATATTGATGAGGAATGATGGCGGCTCAGATGACAGAAGTGGCTGACATAAGAAGTGTTTGACGCCCTGATCATTTTAAATATAGGACATATAGGAAGGTGTGTGAGAGGAGAGTCAAGAATGATCTCAGGACATTGCCCTAAACAATAGGAAGGATAGATTGACTTCAGCTGAGATGGGATAGGCTATTGGAGGGATGGGGGAAGGAAGATGCCGGGTCAATTGTAGATTCATGTGTCTGAGAAGTGTATTAGATATTCAAGTGAAGGTGTAGAAGAGGGAGTTGGACATGAGTGTGGAGTTTAGGGGAGAGTTTGGAGGTAAAAGTTTGGAGATCGGCAAACTTGAACCAGGATAAGATCACCGAGGGAGTAAAAGTGGAAGGAGAAGAGAATACCAAAGACTGAGCACTGGGATATATGAAATTAAGAAGTCTAAAATAACATGAAATTGACATTAAAATAATATAAAATGTTTTAGTACTTTTGCAGTGTATTTAATTTTTTACAAAAATGTCACATGTTCATAACAGTCATTATGATCTTGTTCTTTTTACTGAAAAACTATACCTTTATTTTTTAAATTGAATTTATTGGGGATGATATTGGTTCACTAAACCATACAGGGTTTCAAGTGTACAACTCAATAAAGCATCACCTGCCCACTGCATCCTGCGCCCATTGCTCCAAGTGAAGTCTCTTTAAATGAAACCGAAAGCCTTTTTTGTGACTTTTATTTTGCTTTAAAATGCCTCACAAACCTTGAATTAATTAATTCATATTATAGATAACTACATTAAAAAGTAGACAGTGAAAATAAAAATTGTGTTCATTATCAAATTAGTGACCATAATGTCTTTAATGCATATTTTTATATATGTGTTCTACAGAGACAGATGAGGCCACTGTTCTTTGATAATATAACATTCAACACCAAATTAGCAGTTTAAAATCTGTCCCACAATTTACAAACTGATACATCTTTGTTTTATTTGTGATAAGCTTATCAGCTTGCTTTTTATATGAAGTTTGATTGATGGTTATGTGTTCTTACTCATTTTAGTCTGTCAATAAATGAGATTTTGCCCTCGCTGGTTTGGCTCAGTGGATAGTGCGTTGGCCTGTGGACTGAAGGGTCCCAAGTTCGATTCTGGTCAAGGGCACATGCCTGGGTTTTGAGCTAGATCCCAGTGGGGGGCGTGCAAGAGGCAGCCAATCAATGATTCTCTCTCATCATTGATGTTTCTCTCTCCCTCTCTCTCTCTCTCTCTCTCTCTCCCTTCCACTCTGAAATTAATAAAAATATATTAAAAAATAAAAATTAGATCTCCATGCCTTGAATTATATTCAACTCTCAAGTATAAAGAATGCCTCATAAAACAAAATCCATTATTTTACTGTAGGCACATACATGACTTTAAAAAATACAACTCTTATTTCAAATGAGATTTTAACCCTTTGTGATCTTGTATTATCAAGGCAATTGTTTACAACACAGTGTGGAAATGGGTGCATTATTAATACTGAAAAATAGACTTAAGTGACTCATTTTTATCTAGATGACTACATAAATATACTGATAAACAATCTTTAATATTTTAACACAGGCATTTATTTGTATCTTTTCAGTCTATTCGAGAAGTCACAGGCTACGTGTTAGTGGCTCTTAACCAGTTTCGTTACCTGCCTCTGGAGAATTTACGCATTATTCGTGGGACAAAACTGTATGAGGATCGATATGCCTTGGCAATATTTTTAAACTACAGAAAAGATGGCAACTTTGGGCTTCAAGAACTTGGATTGAAGAACTTGACAGGTAAGGAAAATATATAAAATAATAAATATACTCTCATTAATATAACGTTATAGACACACACCTGTGTGTGTGTGGTTACTACAGTGTGTGTTGCATTGAGAAACACTATAAAGCATTGAATACCTACTACTTATTCATTTTATGAGAAAGTATTCCCTATGATTCCCTTGTTTTCTGTACAGATATTGTGAGTGCAGTCTGAGGGATACCTTAATACTGTTATCTCAGCTGAACAGAAGTACACTGTTCAGGAAATGCTCAGTGACTGAAAACTGAGATAGGAAGCAGGTTTAAGAATGCTGTTTGGGGGTCTCAGGTGAATGGCCAGCCATATCATCAAAGCTGCAGCGAAGCACCTCTCTCGTTAAAGCTCAGTAAATACACAAGCCATTGTGTCTAGTATTTTATATAATTCCATATTTTTGGAAAACATATCTAATTTATTAACTCAGTATTGATTTCTCTTATTTAGTAACTCGCTAAATGCCCCTGCGATTCTTTCTCAGAGTGCTTTTATTTCATATCATCAGTGCTTTCCCCCCCAATCAAGGAGATAGTCTGCTATCAACCTAATGTTATCATCTTGCTACACTTTGTAGGAATTTGTTTTTAAACTGATTTTTGCAATCCCACTGATATCTTCTCAGTTCAGACACTTCATAGTTCACACAGTTCATAGTTCGTAAAGGCTGTGGTGGAAGGCATTTTTGTGGCAGGGTTTCTAATCATAAATTTTGCCATGTGTGCCTGTAATCAAAATGTGCTAATTAGTAATTAATTATCATCCCGCAGTGTGATAAAGAAGTCTAAGCTATTAATTTAATCTAAATTAATATCTGTATATTTTGCATCAAAATATATAGTGCCTTTCTATGTATTTGAGTTCATTCACTGTTAATGTTTCTTGATATTGATAAATAAAATACTTTAGAAATATTACTTTAAAATATTAAGAAATATGTAAGCTTATTATTAACAGGATATTTAAATTATTAGTTTATTTTATTTATAGTGAATGTAAACAATATTATTTTAAGTTAGAAGTAGCTTCATAATTAGCCAGACATGAGAGCTAAAATTGGAATATTTTGGATGAAGAAAGGAATACTGATTATGTTATTGACTTTGGACATGATTGCATAATGGAATTGAATGCATAATGATAAATGCAAAATTTTTGGAACCTATAGATTACTTCATCAACATTTTTATTTTTATTTTGTTTCAAAGATAGTTATCTTACAAAAAAGCAAGTTTTTTTTGTTTTTTTTTTTACTAAATTACTACTTGCATGGAAATAATGATAGGAGGAAAAACTTGGAAATGGAACGGATAGAGAACATCAAATGGTTGAAATTAGGACTCTAAAAATAATATGGTTCAGTTAAAAGTTGCATAGGAAGCATTGTGTTTTCTTCACAACTTTTCTATGATTAAATCAAAGAAGAAATGAATAATGGTTTTGAAATTTTTATAATTCTTGAATTATATTATTATTTTATACTATGTGATACTTATAGACTTTTTTCATACATAGGTACAAATTTAATACATGAATATGTACATTTTTCTAACCATACTTTACATTAAATATTTGAATTTGTATTTTATGAATTATAAGGATATGTATTTGAATATGTGAAATTTGGGATCTACAAATATATGATTTATGTTTTTCAAAAGTTGGCTAAATACTCTCCTCTTTTAAAACCAACATATTTATGTACTAGTGCCTTTATTTAATATTTTATAAATATTCTAAATGGTTAACTGCATGTTAGGTCATCCTGATTAGATTATTTTTGAGATGTGGACAAAAACACATTTTAAAAAAAGTGAAATGCTAAAATATTTTGGGGAGGCCTCAATAAAAAAGTAAAAAATGTATTAAGTTTAGTGAATTCTGGGTCAACTAGAAATAAAATAAAATGCTTAGTCCAGGAGATGCATCTGAATGATGTTGCATTTGAAGGATGTAACTTCTGACCATCACATTTGAATGTCTGTCTTCAAATATGCATAAGCTATTAATGAAAGTAGTACAAGTAACACAGTACCTTTTAAAGTTTAAGTTTCTCAACCACCTTCACATTATTCAGTAATGTTCAAATAAATAACCTGATATTGAAAAGGATAGGCCATTTGTATTTGACTCTGTGTATTTTTAAAAAGTATGGATGTGGAATGAGAAAATTCTCTATTCAAAAGTGAGAGCCCTACTTACGATCTGTCTCCCTCTTCTTTAAAATTGAAACGAAAATTCCATCTCATGACGTTGTTTTAGGCGTCCACGAAATAAGGCAAGGAACTTGTCAACCATGCTCCTTTCGCATAGAGGATGCTTAGGGAATCTTAGTTTTCCTTCTCTGTATTGTTTTGCTTTTAGCTTTTTAGCTTTCCTTTGTGTCAGCACACTGATGAAACAACCATACATGTTCTGCATGTTCAAATCCTTCCTGTTGCTTCATTGAGGTTTTGAAAGGTGACTTGTTTAGACAAAAAGTTGCTCCAAATTTAATAGCCTCTTCTGATACCACTTTGAAACTGCTTTAAGTATAAGATCACTTCTCTGGAAGTGAAAAGCCTGAGGCTTTATTAATTAATTAATTAATTTATTTATTAATTAATTTATTTATTTAGTCTACTCTCCGTACCACTACTGTCTTCCGTACTCCCCAGTACTGCTCTCCTGTTGTTCAGTGGCTCGGGCCAAGCACCTGTTGCCCCAGCCCTTCATTTCAAATCTCCATCATCATGTTTCATCTTTCATTGGCCCTGACGTTTGTCTTGGCCTAAGCAAGAGACATATTCATTCTGAGTTCTTTTTCTGACATTAGAGTTGCTAAGCGTTCTTCAGTAGCTCTGTGTTAAGGTCTGACTAATGTTTGAGTGGGTTCAACTAGCCTAGTTCAGATTGCTGTCAGATACAATGTTTGACAAAGTTACTGCTAATATTTACATGAAGAGAGCTACGCAGCATATTCTGAAATCTGAAGAAAATAATTGATTCCAAGAATACTCCTAACTTAAGGATAAATTACTTGGAAAAATTATTTGATCAAAATGAACATATTGAAAATCCTCTGAGTCAGATGGAATCCATGAAGAGTGGTACATTCTTATGAAGGTGTCAATTTTAAGATCAGGTCTACAATTTCTAAAAATATGATATTCTAATAAATGTTTTTAAAGAACATTGTTTGCTTGTCATGCCAAATGATGTATAGTGACTAAAAGAAAGAAAACCATAAGCAATGTGTTTTTGTGTACAGGTAAAACAGAAACATATATATGAAAGGAAATGTTATCAGATAGAGTGACCATTTCAGCAAACTTCTAGGATGTGTTCTTAGATTTAGAGAACCACCTGTTGTCCCTAAGATACACTAAGATCTGTATGTGGCCTTCCCTGAGAGAGAAAGGATATTAAGGTAAAACTACTCCGTTAAGAAAGCTCATTTGTGGAGAAAGCATGCTTGTTTGCTTATGACATTCAGAAAATGAAGAGAGTCTTGGCTCTGCAGGGTCCCAAATGCAATAATAGAAACTGATTAGATATCACCATGAATATATGATTTCATCTGAGGAAAACAGTAAAAATATCAGAATATCTGCTTCCTCACCTTTAGAGCAGGACATTAGCTTTGTTTGGCCTGCAGACACCGACAATGATGGAAGGAGACTTGACGTGGGGTTGAGAACACATAACACAGTGTAGAGATGATGTGTGTGAAATTGTGCTCCTGAAACCTGTATAATTTTGTTAACCAGTGCCACCCCAATAAATTTAGTAAAAAGAGGGGAAAAAGAGTTGGCAAACTTTCTGCATCCATTTCCAGTCACCAAGCAATGCTGGGGCCAGAGTCATTAGCTCTTTGCACATTCTGAATTGCTAGAATCAAACCAGAGCTCTGGAGGCAGAGTGAGTCATGTTTGGGAATAACATGAATTTGTATTTTAGAAGGAATAATGAATGTATGCAATCTTTGACAAGTCTCTAATGCAATTTAAAATATATGTAAATGTATCATCTAGTAAACTCTCTGTCCTAGATAAGAAGTGAGGTATCATGTTGCTGTCTTCCAATGTTTATTGAAGGCACAATTATTATAATTCTTATATTGTTATAGATTTATACATTTTAAAAAATGCTTTCATGTTCCTTTTAAAAATATTTTCCCAAACACAGTCCAAGAATGCTGACTGGGAAAGTTTTTTTATTGTTATTTTGCATATAAGGACACCAGACTCAAGGTCTTGTGGCTAATAGGGCTAACGTGTGTGAAATCTAGATAAGTTCCCATCTCTTCATATTGTGCCATTCATAACAATGCTTGGGTCAATTTCTCAGGATAAGACCACAGTCAGTGAAATAAAAAATTTCCTTTAAACATAAACATTTCAAAATTAGGCAGAAGAACTTCAGGTTATATTTTAGAAAGAACTTTGACTTTAATTGTGGCATGATACTTGAATACATCATGGGAAATGTACGGAAAATGGCAGTAAGTTGACAAAAATACCTACATACACAAAATGATAATAGTGTAAACACTAGATTTGATTTAAAAGATCAATTAACTCACGTTATAACCACTGCCATTCAACAGTGGCTTTCTAAAATCAAGGTTACTATACTCTTAGCCACTAACTGACAAACATTTATTAATAGTTAGTTTTAATGGGAAATGTTTAGAATTCTTTGAAATATGATGCCTGTTCAAATATTTATTGGCTTTGTTTTGTTCTACTTGTATATTCAAGACACACTGAGGTACGAGCCCTTCCAAATTATCTCTACATATCTGTCTCCTCTCAGTAAATATTAAATTTCTCACAAATATTTACCCACCAGACACTGTGTGAACACATTGGAAAGTACTTTCCCCACTACTATTATTATTACTTAAGAGTCAGGTGCCGCCACGTTCATGGTTTACCTTCTAAAGCACTACTGCCCAACAGAACTTTCTGAGATGATGGAGACATTCTTGGCTGCACCCTTGAGTAGCCAGTAGCCAAGATGTAGCTGCTTAAAACCTGAGATATGGGTAGTGAGATGAAGGACATTAAAGTTTAATTTTATCTAATGTTAAGTCAGTTAAATTTAAATAGCCTCATGTGCTAGTGGTGATCATGTTAGTGTAGCACTGGACACTGTGTTTTACCAAACCCGATCAGGAGGTGAGGGTTTCATTACCAAGCATGGCTGATCAGAGCACAGGCTCTGGATCCAGACTCCCAGACTCTGTTCACATTCTCTTCTGAGGTCAGAAATTCACCTTTCTAAGCCTCCGTATTCTCATCTTCAAAGGAGTATGATGAGAATCCACAGTTGGTAAGGTGGTTGTGAAAGTGGAATTATAAATTTCACATACAGCATTAAATGTAGCTCCTGCAATAAATGTTATGCCATTTTTGAGAAAAAGTTTGCTTTTGGTAAAAGGTAATAGAAGCAGCCTATTTTTATAATAATTGAAAGCATGTTGGGGTGATGTAATTAAATTATAAAATATAAAATGTGTCATTTATGATTTAGGATCTAACCACTTTTTATATTTGAGTCAGATGGATTCTGGAGGCCAGTTATTACTTCTTAAAGTGCTTTAAGCTGCTAGATGTTATGACTTAGGTTTTCTTGTTTATCAGAAATGTGACTTTTTAAAAATGAGATTCTTTTTACTCTCACATTCAGTTTCCACAATATAAGTATATAGTTATAAAGAGTTCCCATATTCTCTTTCTTAATGACTTAATAGAGACAAGTAAGGACTAGGAGATTTATAATTATTTTATTACAGAGAAACTGTATTGGAAAGTGTTGAGAATTATTTCTGGTATAGTCATTGCCCATATCTTTAGGATTCCCAAGTCCATAGTCAAAGTTTATTATCATAATATAACATTTATTTAACAACAAATAAAGCACAAAAGAAACTCCTCCATAAAATATTTTCTGAAATAGTTATCTACCATATATCATTAAATCTAAATATAGTAATATGTAAAAAAAATAGACGTACAACAAACCTCATTACTTTCCTAGAATTATAGCAAGATAACTGCTATTATAGCGGTGAAACTGTTCACTGTAGAAGTATATAAAACAAGTTGCAATAGAAGTGGCCAATATTTCATAAATAATGAATTGAATTTTCCACTTATCTAAATCTATCAGGGAATAGATAAATGAGAATTTGCATGGCTCAACACCTTTTGATGTAATAAACATTACTAGCCAGGAAATTTGAATTATTGTGTGGTTGATTTATTGACACTACTGGTAAAAGAGATGAAACTATTGTTCAAAGGAGAAAAGTCATTTAAACTAGGAAGTTTCTTAAACTTTGCCCTCTTAGTGATACATGTGAGCTAGAATATCAGAGAGAAAAGAGGATCTTTTCACTTGTAATTTCTTAACCTAAGTAATACCAGTCTACCCAGAAATTCAATACCTGGCTTTTCTATGTTGCTCTATGGTAGTTCCCACAATACTTTCCCTTCCCCCGCCCTTAATGCTCTATGACCCATTCTGTGCAATACATTTTATACCTCCTAGCTAAAATTGTATTGTAGGCTAAGTCAAATTGTTTTCAATCATAATAATCTTAACAATTTTCAAAAGTATTTACAGGGAAAAGTAAGAAAGATGGTGATCCACAGCTTCTCTTCTTTCTAAGATAATTCAATTTACTCAGTCTCATTTGCTCTGTGATACAAATTAGAAGTTTGATTTTATCGTATCAGTAATATTGAAAAAAGCTAATATCAGAAAGTTCAGTTATTTTCTATCCACTATGAAATAAAAGGCCTCAAGCTTTAATTAAAGGTTTTTAGTGACATATGATGAGCATATTCTGCCAACTATTAACAAAGTAAATAATATTTTTAATTGTAAATTGTTCCCCCAGTTCTCTAAGCTTTCTACTTTAATATTTAGCAGGTGGCTCTATATTATGTATAATTCTACATCTGCTGATATCCCATCGAGAATCCTATAATAAATTCTGCTAGTTTTAAAAATATATGTATTTATTGATTTCAGAGAGGAAGGGAGAGGGAGAGAGAGAAAGAAACATCAATGATGAGAGAGAATCATTGATTGGCTGCCTCCTGCAGGGCCCCCACTGGGGATTGAGCCAGCAACCCGGGCATGTGCCCTGACCGCAAATCCAACCATGACTTCCTGGTTCATAAGTCTAGGCTCAACCACTTTGCCACTGTACCCAGACTGCTAGTTTTTAAACTGTTCATATTACCAAAATTTTATTAGTTGTTGGACCTTTGTTTTTAGAACTTATTAATTCTTGACACTATTATAGTTGTCCCCATTCCCCACCTTTGCCTGCCTCCATCCAGCTCCCATCCTCCCTTCCCTCTGGCCATCAGCACACTATTGTCTATGTCTGTGCATCATACATATATGTTCTTTGGCTAATCCCTTCACCTTCTTTCATCCAGTTCCCATCTCCCCTTTCCCTGGGACATGACCCAATTGTAATCCAAATGCATCATTTATCTACAAAGCATTGTGAAATGTGACACGAGCTTTATAGTATCATTCAAAGAATACCATTTAGCATGTATTGCAAGGCAAAGATAGAGAAGATAATGAAGGCAATACTTGCCATATGTACAGATATATATTTTCTATAGTATAGGCAGAAAAATGAAATGAAGCAGAGAAGCAGCCCACGTCATTGCTATCACTTTTCACATAGTGAATATGAGACTGAATTTCACACATATGCATTACATTGTCATTTCATGTAGTTAGAAATTACATGTCATAATGATAAATCTTTGCAATTAAAACTGCATCATGCTTCAAATGCAGGCCTGTGGTGCTCAGGGAAAAGGGGTGAATCAACAATTAGTGTCTTGGCTCAAGTGCCTCTTAAAAATTAAGAAAAATCCTGCTATCTTTTGTGTAACATGAATACATCAGAGATCACCTCCTTTGTGACTTTAGTGAGGATTAGCTGCATAATTTAGGTAGCTATTCAATTATTTTATGTATTTCATATGTATTAGTAGGTCAGTGACTTCTCATGTTACATTTGGTTGATTACTAAATATGAAATATTGAAGAATATTTAAAACTCAGTAGTACTTATTGAACCATTTTGTGTCAATATGGTGCCTGATTTATATTTAAATTAGAGATTTAATGTAGCTTTTTACTTCATTTATATTTTAGTCCATTAAAATGTGACTTAGAGATATTCAGTATCAGAGAAGATTTTGAAACATTTTCCTTCTGCATCACAAGATCTTACATTTAAAAGAATAAATAAACAATAATATATAAAACTCAAATAATAGAAGTTAAAGCTGCAAACTACATAACTAAAATTTTCATGTACAGATAAACATAAAATGGTGTTCCACAGATGTTTCTCTTTGAAAAACATTTTTCATTATAATTGCAAAAGACTACTTAAACCAAGTAGTTTTTAAAGTAGAAAAAGTCCTTTGAAATAAATGCAATGAAATTAGTAAGGTGTAAAGGACAGTTGAAAATCCATAGGTGTCTATAACCTTGGTACATATAACTAAGAGCCAACACTGATTGTTGCCATTTATAGTTCTCTGATTGTCACTTCATTCATGAAAAAAAAAAAAAGTAAAACAGTCACAGAGAATTAAATAGCTTTTATTGTCTTTTATTGTGTGAAAGATATACTCCATGACTTGGGCATAAAGTCAGGGATAGTTTGGGGGAGGAGAAAATGATCAAAATTGAGCTCAAAGGTAAAATGTTTGAAAGATTCTTGGCATAGAAATATAAATTTTGCCTTAGAATGTTGATTTATAACCCACAGTTCAAAACCAGTTTATTTGTTCTGGATGAAAAAAGTGTGTTTCTAGATTAGAAAGCATACTCTATTCTAGTCTCAGCAGCATGAAATAGGAGAAAAAACTTGAGTTTTAAAACCTGATCAGTTTGAAAGTTTATACTAGCACTGCAACTTACAAGGGAAATGCCAAACCCATGTAAGTGCCATATCTCAGTTTTCTCACCTGAAAATGAGAATTGAATGAAAGATGTCTGCACCCGCCCAGTGTGGCTCAGTGGTTGAGTGTCAACCTCTGAATCACAAGGACAGGGTTCCATTCCTGGTCATGGCACATGCCCAGATTGAGAGCTCTATTGCCACTAGGGTGTATGCAGGAAGCAGCCAGTTAATCATTCGCTCTCTCTCCTTCCTCTCTGAAATCAATTAAAATATATTTTTTAAAAAGATATATACATCTTAGTGCTTAACTTCTTTTTTTTTAGGACAACTGAGGACATGATATTAACCCTTTGAAATAATACTAAATTTATTATGCTACTAAATTTTTGCTCTCTGAACTCTTGGGAACTTAAGTTCAAGCCTTTAATTAAAAACTGCAACTCCATGTGGATAGGAACCTCCATTAGGGTTTAATTGTTCAGTTACCACAATAATAATATCCACACGTGTGTGCATTTATTTTCCTGGTGAGATTGGGGAACCTCAGGGGAAAAGCACACCACTAGATGACATTTAGGGAGGAAGCAAAGAGGAACACAAACTGAGCAAAAAAACATTTTAGTTGGTTTTAAATACCGAGTTTAAGCCAAATTTTCCCAGTGGTGCCAACAAATCCTATCCATTGTTTCTCATTTCTTATTTTCTTAGTTCCTCTCCAGTATTCAGTGCCCCTGCTGAGTAAAGCTACCAATTCAGCTGAGAATTCATTTCCCCAGAGATTACTTTTATACAGTATCTGAAACTCATTAATCATTGCTTCCTTTTAAATCCTCATTACACAGGAAAGAATGCGATTTGAATGCCTAGGTACTTCATACCTGGTTCTAAATAAGCAGAAACAATACAAAGTCTATTTTCAGGCCTCCTCACTTGCTGAATGTACAAAAAGGATATTTTGATGACTTATTTTAAACTAGAGGCCTGGTGCACAACATTCGTACCCAGGGTAGTGGTGGTGGGGTCCCTCAGCCTGGCCTGAGCCATTTCGCAGTCCGGGA